TGTGAGATAGAATAGAAATGAAGTAAATTTTTCTATGTTTATTTTTCATTGTTCAATTAAATACTCAGCAATATAGGTAGGGTTGGCTTTATTGCTTAACCTGTTTAGTGTTTCTTATAAAAAGCCCATGCATCATAATGTGATCCATGAACAATCAATAAAGTTGTGTTGTGTAGCTGAGGGGAAGCTTTGTTTTGTTGTTGATCTGTGTGTGTCTATTCTTTTTTTAATGTACGTGTGTGTGTGTGTGAGTGTGAGAGAGAGCACATGCAGTGCATGTGGAAAGCATTCACAGGGCTTCACTTCTTCCACATTTTGTTATGTCACTGCCTTATTTTATTATGGATTCAATTTTTTTTTTTTCCTCCAAGTTTTACACACAACATCCCATAATGATAAAGTGAAAAAACCTTAATCAAAATGTCTATCCACAGCCTTTGCTCAGTACATTGGGCCTGCCCCGTTATAAACCTATCACATTGTAGCTGCTCAGACCTTCATTGATCTCCTCCATGCTGATGTTTGGCAGATGTTTTTTTGTCTGATGCTAAAATGGTTGTTTCAGAAATCTTCTTTGGCATTTGTACCTAAATACTAATACAACTAAAAGTACTGCATTCAAATAAAGTAGTGAGAGTATATCACTGAGATATTGTACTTTAATCTGCTGCCAAGCATCATATTAAAAAGTATTATACCTCTGAGCTGTAGTACTACATGTACCTCTGAGCTGTAGTACTACATGTACCTCTGAGCTGTAGTACTACATATTCCTCTGAGCTGTAGTACTACATGTTCCTCTGAGCTGTAGTACTACATGTACCTCTGAGCTGTAGTACTACATATTCCTCTGAGCTGTAGTACTACATGTTCCTCTGAGCTAGTAGATGTACCTCTGAGCTGGAGTACTACATGTTCCTCTGAGCTGTAGTACTACATGTACCTCTGAGCTGTAGTACTACATATTCCTCTGAGCTGTAGTACTACATGTTCCTCTGAGCTAGTAGATGTACCTCTGAGCTGGAGTACTACATGTACCTCTGAGCTGGAGTACTACATGTACCTCTGAGCGGAAGTACTATATGTTCCTCTGAGCTGTAGTAGATGTACCTCTGAGCTGGAGTACTACATGTACCTCTGAGCTGTAGTACTACATATTCCTCTGAGCTGTAGAACTACATGTTCCTCTGAGCTGTAGAACTACATGTTCCTCTGAGCTGTAGTACTACATGCATCTGTGAGCTGTAGTACATGTGTTGCTGGTCTAGGTCTCCCTGATCTGGTTCCTGATCCGGACTACATCCAGACCGGCAGCTACGTGCAGAGGATGCCGATGTACAGCCTCCGCTGTGCTGCCGAGGAGAACTGCCTGGCCTCGTAAGACCACCTCATCAATATGATCAATATGATCAATGATCTCTGTATGTGACCCTATAGATCCATAACGTCCTGCTGATAATCAATCAGTAATCTACACTCTGATCTTTACATGAAGGCTGATGAAAACATTACAGAGTCAGTAAAAACCCTTTTTAATATACTTTGATACTTGAGTACTGTACTTTAATACCTGGGTACTTTACTTTGATACTTGAGTACTGTACTTTATTACTTGAGTACTGTACTTTAATACTTGGGTACTTTGATACTTGAGTACATTACTTTAATACTTGAGTACTGTACTTTAATACTCGGGTACTTTACTGTGATACTTGAGTACTGCACTTTAATACTTCAGTACTATACTTTGATACTTGAGTACTTTACTTTAATACTTGAGTACTGTACTTTAATACTTGGGTACTTTACTTTGATACTCGAGTACTGTACTTTAATACTTGAGTACTGTACTTTAATACTTGGGTACTTTGATACTTGAGTACATTACTTTAATACTTGAGTACTGCACTTTAATACTTCAGTGCTGTACTTTGATACTTGAGTACTTTACTTTAATACTTGAGTACTGTACTTTAATACTTGGGTACTTTACTTTAATACTCGAGTACTGTACTTTAATACTTGAGTACTTTGATACTTGAGTACATTACTTTAATACTTGAGTACTGTACTTTAATACTTGGGTACTTTGATACTTGAGTACATTACTTTAATACATTTTATTGTGTCTCCTTTCCTGTCTCCTCCCTCCTGTATCTCCTCCTCCCTTTCTCCCCTCTCCTCCTGTCTCGTCCTGATCCCTCTGTCATATCTCCTACTCCCCTCCTTCCTCCTCCTTGTCTCCTCCACTCCTTGCCTTCTCTCCTCCTCCTCCAGCTCCTCCTCCTCCTCTCATCACTATGACACCCGGGTGTTGCTGCGGTTCCCTCAGCGGGTGAAGAATCAGGGAACAGCTGACTTCCTGCCCAGTAGACCTCGATACGAGTGGGAGTGGCACAGCTGCCATAAGTAAGCTGCTCCTCCTCTTCCACGTCTTTGAGCGACCTGACTGGTGACCTCCTCCTTGTTGTTGTTGTTGTTGTTGTTGTCACAGCCACTTCCACAGCATGGACGACTTCAGCCTGTACGAGCTGCTGGAGGTCGGCTCCGAGAGACGAGTGGCCGAGGGACACAAGGCCAGCTTCTGTCTGGAGGACACGTCATGTGACCCGGGGTACTACCGCCGCTACGCCTGCACCTCCCACACACAGGTACACACCTGTTACACACGCACACACAGGTACACACCTGTTACACACGCACACACAGGTACACACCTGTTACACACACACACACTCAGGTACACACCTGTTACACACACACACTCAGGTACACACACAGGTACACACCTGTTACACACACACACTCAGGTACACACACAGGTACACACCTGTTACACACACACACACTCAGGTACACACCTGTTACAAACAAGGTACACACAAGAACCGTTATAAGTCCAATGTAAGTGCTGCAGTTAGTTAGTGTGTTAGTGGAGGTAGAGTCTGAAGAGGTGTGTCTTTAGTCTGAAGATATGAAGGCTCTCTGTGGTCCTGATGTCTTCAGAGACCTCCTTCCACCATTTAGGAGCAGGACAGCAAAGAGTGGAGATCTAGTCGAGTGTTTTGCTCTCAGTGAGGAGGAACAAGCAGTTTATCACATGCAGAGCGGAGAGTGCGGGTCGGGGTGTCGGGTTGGACCAGGTCCTGGATGGAAGCTGGACCCCATCCATTCACAGCATGGTACGTGAGCACCATGTTTAGAACTGGATGAGCCACCGGTACCAGTGAAGAGAGCGGAGAGTGGAGGAGTGAGGGAGAACTTAGGAGGGTTAAAGACCAGTGGAGCTGCTGCATTCTGGATGAGCTGCAGAGGCTGAATGGTGGTAGCAGGAGACCTGCAGGAGAGAGTTACAGTAGTCCAGGAGGGAGACGACAAGAGCCTGAATCAGTACCTTCTGAGTGAGAAGAGGACGTGTTCTCCTGATGTTGTAGAGCGAGTATCTACAGGATGGTGTTGTCAGTGATGTTGGAGTCAGGGAGAGTCGGCTGTCGACGTCACGCCGAGGTTCCTGCAGTCAGAGTGGACGTTAACACGGAGTCTCAAAGTTAACAGTCAGGTCCTGTGAAGGAGAATCTTTCCCTGGAAAGAGAAGTAGTTCAGTCTGTCGGGGTTGATTTTCAGATGGTGGGCGGATCCACTGAGAGACGTCAGTCAGACAGGCAGAGATCAGAGTGAGGGAAGGAGAGAACTAGTTGGGTGTCATCAGCATAGCTGTGGTAGGAGAAGCAATGCGAGCGAATGACAGCGCTGAGAGAGTTGGTGTAGAGCGAGAAGAGGAGGGGACCCAGGACGGAACCCTGAGGAACTCCAGTAGTAAGAGGACAAGGTTCCGACACAGATCCTCACCAGGTTACCCGGTAGGTGCGTCCGTCGAGGTAGGACGAGAGAAGGGAGAGAGCAGAGCCTGAGACACCAAGTTCCTGAAGGGAGGAGACGAGGATCTGCTGGTTGACTGTGTCAAATGCAGCAGAGAGGTCCAGAAGGACGAGGACAGAGGAGAGAGAGGAGCTCTAGCAGTGTGGAGTTGCTCAGAGACAGCAAGGAGAGCAGTCTCTGTGGAACGGCATTGAAGCCTGACTGGTGGGGGTCAAGGAGGTTGTTACGGTGGAGATAGGAGGAGAGTTGGTTAAAGATCACACGTTCAAGGGTTTTGGACATAAAGGGAAGAAGAGAGACCGTCTGTAGTTGTTTTCTTCAGAAGGGTTGAGGGTGGGTTTCTTCAGGAGAGGGTTGACTCTTCTCCTTCAGAGAAAACAGCCAGATAACAGAGCATTGTTGATGAGACATCCTCTCCTCCTCACATCCTCTCCTCCTTTTATAATGTTAAAGGTGTGTGTGTCTTCAGGGCCTGTCCCCCGGGTGCTATGACACCTACAACGCCGACATCGACTGTCAGTGGATCGACATCAGCGACGTCTCTCCGGGGAAATACGTCCTCAAGGTCTGTCTTCATTTTATTTTATTTCATTTTCTCACCCTCACTGAGATACATGTGTCACTGTACATATATATATAAAAAAAGTTATACATATATATATATATATATATATATATATATATATATATATATATATATATATATATATGTATATGTATATATATATGTATGTATGTATGTACATGTATGTGTTCAGGTGACGGTGAACCCCAAGCAGAACGTCCCAGAGTCCGACTTCAACAACAACGTGGTCCGCTGTGACGTCCAGTACACCGGCACCGCCGCACACGTGACCGACTGCACCACCACGTGAGTTCATCCGTTCATAAGTTCACTCATTGATATGAACAACAATGAGTTCATCCGTTCATAACTTCACTCATTGATATGAACAACAATGAGTTCATCCGTTCATAACTTCACTCATTGATATGAACAACAATGAGTTCATCCATTCATAAGTTCACTCATTGATATGAACAACATTGAGTTCATCCCTTCATAAGTTCACTCATTGATATGAGCAACAATGAGTTCATCCGTTCATAACTTCACTCATTGATATGAACAACATTGAGTTCATCCATTCATAAGTTCACTCATTGATATGAACAACAATGAGTTCATCCGTTCATACGTTCACTCATTCATATGAACAACAATGAGTTCATCCATTCATAAGTTCACTCATTGATATGAACAACAATGAGTTCATCCGTTCATAAGTTCACTCATTCATATGAACAACAATGACTTCATCCATTCATAAGTTCACTCATTCATATGAACAACAATGACTTCATCCGTTCATAAGTTCACTCATTGATATGAACAACAATGACTTCATCCATTCATAAGTTATGAACAACAATGAGTTCATCCGTTCATAAGTTCACTCATTCATATGAACAACAATGCGTGTTTCATGGAGCGGTCTCGCTCTCTGTTCTTTGTCTCCTGCAGCCGCTGAGACGCATTCTGAGGTTTGATCTGGAGATTTGATGGAAGAAATAAAGACTCAGCAAAGCCACAGGATGAAGATATATAAGGAGTCCATAAACACGCGTGTGTGTTCCATGTATAAACACGTGTGTGTGTGATCTGAAGCGGCCTTCTCGTGTGTTCTGTCTGACTAAAATATAAATAAGTGCAAAATAAATACGTAGTGACTAAAATCAATGAATAATCCAGACATAACTGGGATCTCAGTCTACGTTGTAGACACATGAATATAAAATGGATACAAAAGTAGGGTTTGCTTTAAAATATGTTCCCCTCAAAGAAAGCTGTAAAGATGTTAGTTCCATAAGAACTATCATAATGTTCCTAATTGTAAAGGAAGTACTCTAGAATGAGTTCTGTAGAATGTTCTACTCTAAAGAACTCATAATAATAATAATAATAACCTTGCTGATGAGATACTAAAGATGAGTGACATACAGACCAACAGAAGTCCGCGCTGCGTAATTACGGACGACACGGAGGACGTTTACAGACGGTGACGTCACAGACTGGGTGGCGCTGACGGTGTGACTGGAGGAGGAACGGAGACAGTTATGCTCAGATGTCAATAATAAAAGAAATGATGAAGCCCGGAGTTCGAGTCATACGATCAAATAGGCGTTATTTTAATTCAGAGAGACGTTTAAATACGTAAATCACCATCAACAGTCAACAGATGATAACAAACTAAAACCTGTCAGCAGTGCTTCTAACCTAAAGACGTCATTAATGACTTTGTATTTGTATGGAACGAGACGGTATGGTGGCACGACTTGTTTTGTATCACGATACATGTTTTATTGTTGCCTAAATTCTCTCAAAAAGTTCACTTGTACTTTTATTTTAAGAATAACGCACCGATGTACCGCTGCAAAGATCGTCTATTAGAAGGATGCTCAGCTGGAACAAACAGAATAAAAGAATCAGACAAAGGGGGTCGCACGATCATAACACAACTTATTATTGAGAAAATAGAATGTAGTATAATTCACATTAAAATAAGTAACTACAATCTACAACTGGGAACGGTTTCAGTATATTTCCTTTATATGTCTAAACATTTATGACGAGTTGCTTGATCTGTTGCGTAATGAATCCCTTGTCACAAAATCTCCAGTCATTTTCTTCCACCTTTTTCTTTGTATTCTCGTCATATATCTTGCTTATACATGTGTGGATAAAAAACACACACTCTTATCTTTATGTGTAAAACAAAATGTGTAATTTCCCTGCACAGAAATGTCTGTGGTTGAACGTTGGAGTGAGCCCTCGTGTCGTCACGCCGCCTCTCTGCCGCCCGTGTGAAAGTCTTTGTGCTTTTGCAGCCAGCGAGAGAAGAAGAAAACGCGCACAGCTGGATCCGTTAGCGGCTCCGCTAGCTGCGCATCCCCGAGCAGACTTCCGTGAGGTACCGTAAGCCCGGGGCCTCCCCCGGTAACCGGGAGGACGCGCCTCCTCGCCGCGGGAACCGGGGGGAGCAGCTTTCACTCGTTTATTTCTATACAAGCGTCTTCGGTCGTGACCCAGTTCTCCCAAGCGGGCTAGCGGGCTAGCTTCCACGCTAGCTTCTGTGGAGGCTGATTAGCGAGCTAACGACGCTAAGCTAATTAGCCTCCCGCTGCCTCACGCGCAGGTATCGTGGATGAGGTGGTCCGCGCGAGGACAACGCGCCATGTTTACGGCTGTTCAATCGCTTTTCTTTTATTTACCACAAGGAGTCAGTTTTCTCCTCATAATGGTAAAGTTAACTTTAGTAAGCTTTAGTTACTAATATAACAAAGCGAAATCGCATCGTTTTCAATTATTTTACTAAATGTTATTGAAACAGAAGTTACAAGTAAAATAGCTTTGAATAATTTATTTATTATTAAATATACCTTGAGTTAATTCACGTGTGTATATAGATGTTTTATTGCTGTCACATAGAGGGTAAAATCCAAATATGTCATGGCTTCAGTGATTATTTAATCACCTGTTGACTGATTCTCTTTGAGGTCAGAAACTTTTGGACACTTTGGAAATCACTGAATAGGAAGTGACCATATTTGGACTGAGGAAGATGGAGAGACCCTCTCCGGTAGACCTGTCAATTAGCGTGTAGCCCCGCCCTAAGCATCCCCTGCTTTATGGTCTATAAGAGACCTGTCAGTCAGCGTGTAGCCCCGCCCTAAAGCATCTCCTGCTTTATGGTCTATTGAGACCTGTCAATCAGCGTGTAGCCCCGCCCTAAAGTGCCCCCTATTTTATGGTCTATGAGACCTGTCAATCAGCGTGTAGCCCCGCCCTAAAGCATCCCCTGCTTTATGGTCTATAAGAGACCTGTCAATCAGCGTGTAGCTCCGCCCTAAAGCGTCCCCTGCTTTATGGTCTATAAGAGACCTGTCAATCAGCGTGTAGCCCCGCCCTGAAGCGTCCCCTGCTCTATGGTCTATAAGAGACCTGTCAATCAACGTTTAGCCCCGCCCTAAAGCATCCCCTAATAAGTTATAGACAAGATGGCGCCGTTGATGGCCGCCTCGGTGCTTCGGTTACTAACACATTGCATTAGCATTTCATTCCACTTTATTTTATTACCTGTGCACTGTTGTCTTGTCTGTCTACTGTCGCGCACTAACCGCCAAGACAAATTCCTTGTATGTTTAGCATATTTTGGCCAATAAATGTTTCCTGATTCCTGATTCCTGATCCCCTGCTTTATGGTCTATTAGAGACCTGTCAATCAGCATGTAGCCCCGCCCTAAAGCGTCCCCTGCTTTATGGTCTGTTTTACTCTAAATGGACGATAATTGACTAAATAAACATCATTCTGTGTTGAAGGAACTAGAAACTAGAGACTGAGACCATAAACTCATGTTTATCAAGAGAGAAATAGTCATTTTCTCATAGACCCTTTTTTGCCTCACGGACCGTTTTTCGGTGTCAGACAATATTTGGCGGACCGGTCGTGAAGATCCAAAACATTTTTCATAAAAAAGGTAAACGAAAAAAACCTCATCTTTCTGTGGTGCAGCCCGTTACCAAATGGTTGGGGACCCGTGTTGTAGAGCAGTGGTCCCCTTTTTTACCTCACGGACCGTTTTCATGTCAGACAGTATTTCGCAGGAGGTCCGACGGGAGGGGGGTGGGGGTGGGGGGGGTTAGTAGTCGCGCTCTGTGTTCGCTGGTGGGCGAAACTGCCGTGCGCGGTAAGAGGACAATTGTAAACGTGAAGAGAAACGCCTGGTGACGCGTGAGGAATCTGTCAGAGGGACGAGCGCACATTGCGGGCCGGTGGTTGGGGACCACTGGAGTCGGCCCCCCGGTGGTCACTGCAGAGAATGCAGCTGAAAAGAACCCTGCACGTACCAGTTATTTATAACTATTTACCGTCCTACATACGTGACACACGCGTGTTGCTGTCTGCAGCTGGTGGCGGGGCCGAGGATGTCGCTGTGAAGATGGAGGCTCCTGAGTACCTGGACCTGGACGAGATCGACTTCTCTGACGACTCAGCGGTCAGTCGACAATTTGACTGTTTAAACATTCCTGGAATACTTAAGGAATTCCATTAAAAAAGGAAGAACTGTTCTCTACGTGTCGGTGTATCTTTTAAGGTCCCGGTGCTGTCGTGGGAAATGCTTTTCGCATTAAAAAAAGAATATAGAAGACTAGATTTAAGTGATTTGGATTAATTTGATACCACAACTCTTTTTGCTCCATTTTAATTATGTATCAAGAGAATAGATTAATAAAATAATCCACATTTCTTTATTCTTGTATGTAAATAAACATGCTCTCTAGATTTAGTACGATCAATATTATGACAGAATGAAAGCAGGTGGTAAAAGATTATGTAGTTTTACCTGATAATGTTCCAATTGCTATACCATTTTAAATATGTATATAAATATGTTAAACCCTAACCAGCACGAGGAGGAAGTAGCGTTTTATTTTGGTGTGTAACTGATGGAACACATATATATATATATATATATGTATATATATGTATGTGTGTTCCATTCCAAATACCAGCCTGTCGTCCTGCAGTACTCTGTGACGTCTCTGAAGAGCATCCCGG